AGTAGTCGACATTATGTTCTTGTTAGGCTACGTCTCGGTAGTTATTATTATCTTTATTATTACTATTATTATTATCATTATTACGTTCAATTATTAAGTCTGTCTGTGTGTGTGTCTGTCTGTCTGTGTGTCTGTCTGTGTGTGTGTCTGTCTGTCTGTGTGTCTGTCTGTGTGTTTGTCTGTGTGTTTGTCTGTCTGTGTGTGTGTCTGTCTGGTGTGTGTGTGTGTGTCTGTCTGTGTGTGTGTCTGTCTGTGTGTCTGTCTGTGTGTTTGTCTGTCTGTGTGTGTGTCTGTGTGTGTGTCTGTCTGTGTGTGTGTGTGTGTGTCTGTCTGTGTGTGTGTCTGTCTGTGTGTGTGTGTGTGTGTGTGTGTGTGTGTCTGTCTGTGTGTGTGTGTGTGTCTGTCTGTGTGTCTGTGTGTGTGTGTGTGTGTGTGTGTGTGTCTGTGTGTGTGTGTGTGTGTGTGTCTGTGTGTGTGTGTGTTGTGTGTTTGTCTGTCTGTGTGTGTGTCTGTGTGTGTGTGTGTGTGTGTCTGTCTGTGTGTGTGTGTGTGTGTGTCTGTCTGTGTGTGTGTGTGTCTGTCTGTGTGTGTCTGTCTGTGTGTGTGTGTGTGTGTCTGTCTGTGTGTGTGTCTGTCTGTGTGTTTGTCTGTGTGTGTCTGTCTGTGTGTCTGTCTGTGTGTGTGTGTCTGTGTGTGTGTGTGTGTGTCTGTCTGTGTGTTGTCTGTGTGTGTGTGTGTGTGTGTGTGTGTGTGTGTGTTGTGTCTGTGTGTGTGTGTGTGTGTGTCTGTGTGTGTGTCTGTGTGTGTGTGTGTGTCTGTCTGTGTGTGTCTGTCTGTGTGTTTGTCTGTGTGTTTGTCTGTCTGTCTGTGTGTCTGTCTGTGTGTCTGTCTGTGTGTGTGTCTGTCTGTGTGTCTGTCTGTGTGTTTGTCTGTCTGTCTGTGTGTCTGTCTGTCTGTGTGTGTGTCTGTGTGTCTGTCTGTGTGTGTGTGTGTGTGTGTGTGTGTCTGTCTGTGTGTCTGTCTGTGTGTTTGTCTGTGTGTGTGTGTGTTGTCTGTGTGTTTGTCTGTCTGTCTGTGTGTCTGTGTCTGTCTGTGTGTCTGTCTGTGTGTGTGTCTGTCTGTGTGTGTGTGTGTGTGTGTGTGTGTGTGTGTGTCTGTGTGTCTGTCTGTCTGTGTGTCTGTCTGTGTGTTTGTCTGTCTGTCTGTGTGTCTGTCTGTGTGTGTGTCTGTCTGTGTGTGTGTCTGTCTGTGTGTCTCTGGTTCGTGTAAGCCCGTTCAAAGCTGTCTGTCTGTTCAGGTTCGGTCTGTGTGTCTGTCTGTGTGTTTGTCTGTCTGTCTGTGTGTCTGTCTGTGTGTGTGTCTGTCTGTGTGTGTGTCTGTCTGTGTGTCTGTGTGTTTGTCTGTCTGTGTGTCTGTCTGTGTGTCTGTCTGTCTGTCCAATCGCTATCCAGGAGAAATATATTCGGCGCCTGACATTTCAGTTTAATTAACAGTGCTTCACCTACGCTAGATTTTAATTATTTTTTGCTCCTATAACATCGGATATTGGTTATTTGGTCCAATACAGAAAACAAAAATGTATCGCCGATTGATTACTTAATATAATGAATCGCGTGAACACAAGGCGTTTCTCACCTGATGATCTAACACCATAACGCTATCCTAACTTAACCTAACTTAGCCTTAACCGAACCTAAATTGACCTAAATTAACACTAATCTAACTTAACGCAAACCTTACCTATCCTAACCTAACACTAACCCTAACCCTAACACTAACACTAACCTAACCCTAACCCTAACACTAACCCTAACCCTAACACTAACACTAACCTAACACTAACACTAACACTAACACTAACCTAACACTAACCTAACCCTAACCCTAACACTAACCTAACACTAACCCTAACCCTAACACTAACACTAACCTAACCCTAACCCTAACCCTAACCCTAACCCTAACACCAGCACTAATCTAACCTATATGAACAATTGAAAAACAGAGATTAAATGAACCGTTTAAATTAATTGACAGTTTAAATGAACAATATTGCATGACAGGAACCGGACAATATATGTATCAAGTCTCGTAATATAGTCAGTATAACTCTAGAGTATAATAGAGTATAATATAACCTGCAGTATACTTATATAATGAGGTGTGTTTGTTATGTAGGGAATTACCCGGCCATTATTACTTGTTTTATGAGGTAGACTGAGGTGTTTGTTATGATTACCTGTGTTGACTGATCTCTCTCTCTCTCTCTCTCCAGGGATACAAGAACGATCACCACATAGACGAGAACTACGACAACAAAGAGTTTTTCGGTGACTTCTACGAGTACAGTTACCACGACTCCAACGGCGACGACCACAGCTCTTTCCACGCTGATGAGGGTCACCACCACGCCAAGGACGACCACGCCAAGGATGACCACTCCAAGGGCCACCACGCCAAGGACGACCACTACAAGGGCCACCACTCCAAGGACGATCACTACAAGAGTCAACACGGACACACTGCCGGCGGTTACGGACACGGTGATGGTACGTAACTCTACCACAATACCACAGGAGAGAGAGAGAGAGAGAGAGAGAGAGAGAGAGAGAGAGACCTTATCAGTCACCCTTAATATTCCTTAATAAACAACTAAGTCCCTTTACAGCTGACGGTTCAGAAGCTCACTCTAACGCCAGGCGAATCACTGCTTCTGTTGCCGCTCCTGCTGCTTCTACCTCGCCTGCTGCTACTGCTCTTCGTCCCATTCCTGCTTCAGCTTTACGCATCAGATCCAGCTACGCCTCCACTCCTAACGCGCCTCTGCTTGCTTTAGCTAACACCCGCCCCCTGCCTGCTGGAGAAGACACCCAAGTCCCTACCTCTTCTGCTGCCGTCTACGTCCTCGGGTCACCTGCTGCTCCGTCAGGTCTCTCCTCTTCACCTACTACTGCAGAAGGCACTGAAGAGGAGGTCCCTGTGCGTGTATCTGCTCCCAAGCCAACGATGACCCGAGAAAAGGCTTATCCTGCACCTCCCCACAACACACACACGCCTCTCTGTACCCTCCCACACACACCATCATCCTGCACCCCACACACATCATCAGCCTGCACTCCCTACAACACACACCATCATCCTGCACCTCCCCACACACACATCACCGTCCTGCACCTCCCCACAACACACATCACCATCCTGCACCTTCCCACACACATCACCGTCCTGCACCTCCCCACAACACACACATCACCGTCCTGCACCTCCCACAACACACACACATCATCCTCACTCCCCACAACACACATCACCGTCCTGCACCTCCCCACAACACACACCAACACCCTGCACCTCCCCACAACACACACACACCACACACCCTGCACCTCCCCACAACACACACCGCCCCTCTGCACCTCCCCACAACACACACCAACACCCTGCACTTTCCCACAACACACACCGCCCCTCTGCACCTCCCCACAACACACACCAACACCCTGCACCTCCCCGGGGACCTCACAAGCCTGCGCCCCTTGTTTACTCTCCATGAGGGACCTCAGAGTCCTTCAGGTCCTCCGTCAAGATCCTAAAGGAGTCACCAAGGACCTTTGAGGAGTTTGATGATTTCATGTTCCTTACACAGGCGGAGAAGTGAGAGCCCTACTTTCTTCCATCTCTCTCTCTCTCTCTCTCTCTCTCTCTTCTACCCCACTTCGTCATTGTCCGCCGTACTGAGAGCGGGTCATACAAATAATTGGCTGGCGGCCTAACCTAACCTAACCCCCCTAGGTAGCGATAAAGTGTTTAATCATCAGGTGAAATAAGTTGGTGGGTAATCTTCATGTGATCTATATTTACTTGTACAGTGTATCTAATAAAACAAATCCCTCGTGTAAAAATAGGTCAAATATCTGGGTTAAAGCTTTGACAGCTGACACAGGTGATTGCCTTGGCCTGAATACTTGTATATACACAAACATCTATGAACACGAGACAAAATGGCTGTATCCGACGTCAACCTCGTAGATAGAAAGTCTTGAGCCACCCTGTACTGTCTCTCTAAACCCGGTTATCGGAATAAATCTGGATAACATTAATCTGTGTTGTTTGTTACGTCACGTATTTCTGTTATGTGTTATACTCGACCTTAAGGCAGCCGTACCTCTGCCGTAACTGCTGGTACAACAACCATTACGGTCAAGGAAGGTGGTTTAGTTGTGGGTTAATCGTCACAGTGAGTTTACACCAATCAGGAGACAAACTATCAGCTGGGACGGATGGTAGCCAATCAAAACTTGCTACTGTGATATTGCCCATAATTCCTTGACCTACCATAGTCATATATACCCGGTGTGTACTGTAGTCTATAGGGGGGAGTACAAGTGTATCACAGTGATCTAAACAGAACTCTTACCCACCGCCGCTGCTGCCTTACCGTGTCAGGTCATCATTGTGGTGAGTACACAGTGACGCAGAGATGTGAAGTGAGGAGTTATGTGATGTTGTCTTATAATAGTAAAGTCCTCTTAGGCTCTATTACCATATTACTGTTGTCTGGGAAGCTTAAGTGAATTAGTCGATGTTGTAGTGGAGTTGTCGTATTTTCTCGGTCCCTAATTGGTCTAAAGTCTACCTTACCTTACCTTACCTTGTATCTAAACCAAGGCGTCGTGTCTACCGTTCTAACTACAGTTGTTGTTTCTCTTACATCAATAATCATAAATAATCTTATATTTAATTGTCTTGAATTATATATTAACTAAAATTATGTTTATATATAAGATTTTTCTCGTGTTGTATCGTGTTGCTCAGTTGTGGTCTAACTCTTGTCTCACTCTCTCGTGTAATTAACCTGAGGTAAGAAAAAAGGTAATCAATTTAAGCCGCTGACCTCAGGTAACACAGGTGAGGTAATTTAGTCCACAGAGTTTGGTTTACTGGCCGCCAACGCCTAACCTAACTCTGTACGTCCACAAACTCATTAAGAAAAACAAATAGAAATTCAAAGTTTATTTTATTCAGATGAAACATTTAATACGTACAAGGAATTATATATATTTGGTAAACGTAATGATAGAAATTATGTACTTTTTTCTTTATATAAAGTTACTAGCCCAGGCAAACGTTCACCAACCCATCCAATCGTCCACTCACCATTCCTACCTGCATCACAACAAAACAATCAGGTCCACTTAGGCCCACCCATACAGCCAGCATCACTAGTATCCACGATGGAGATGAGAGCGTAGCGTTGACCCGACTTGAGAGGCATCCCGTGGTGGAGGTGCATAGGACGGTCTGGCTGTACCAACGCCCACCCCGTCCTGTTGTGGTTCACCCATATCTCTCGTTCCTCACCGAAGTTTACGTTACCCATCCTGTACTGTAGTCCGCCTCCCTGTAGGTGGTCCGTATAGGAACATTTGTTTTATAGAAGATTTTGTAGATAGAATGAATTGGGGATATTGAATTATTAGATGCTTGATGTATAGAGCCTATTGTATAGAGCCTGTTGTAGAGAACCCACCATAACCCACCACTCATAACCCACCACTCACAACCAACCATAAAGAGTCCACCATAACTCACCGTAAAGTTGTTATTGAGAGCGATGTTGAAGGTGTAGGTGGCGCCATCTAGGTGATACTTGAAGGTGTTATAGTGTGTTGTGCTCTCATACTTCAACACAAACACCAGGTTCCCGTAACCCAGCGACCTGTAGCTGTAGAGTGTGTCCAGCAGCTCCTGGTGGTGGTAGTTGTTGTTGTGGTGGTAGTAGTGGTAGTAGTTGTTGTTGTGGTGGTAGTAGTAGTGGTGTTAGAGGGGTTAATACTTGTGTTAGAGGTTAGATTAAGTTAGTTTTAGGTTAAATTAGGTTTGATTAAATTTAGTTTGGTTACAGAGAGAGAGAGAGAGAGAGAGAGAGAGAGAGAGAGAGAGAGGAGAAAAAGAGATAGAGAAAAGAAGAAGAACAAAGCCAAACACAGATCAATAAACAATTTAATCCTCTTTCTTGCTTCTCATGACAACGAAAGAGGAACTAAGAAACAACTGATAAATAAGATAATCCTCCTTTCTCTCCTTCTCCCTCCTTATCATTCATTCACTACATCTGGGTTATTATCCTTGCCTGTTCTCCCTGTGTTTAATCTTCTTCTTTCTTTCCTTTTATTATCTTCTCCTTTGATCTCTTTCGCTCTTTGATTGAACAGATGGAATTAGGTTGAGATCTCTGTCTGTCTGTCTCTCTCTGATTGTCTCTCTCTCTCTCTCTCTCTCTCTCTTTGACTCTCTCTCTCTGACTCTCTCTCTCACCTTCTTCACCGTGTTTATAAGAAGGTTGTACTGAGTGAAGTAGTTGATCTGGCTCAGGTTAATGTTGGTGCTGGTGTAGCGATGAGCCTCCTCCTCCCGGTCGTCCTGTAAACAAACCGTGACGTCATACAGGTGAGAACTCCTTAGAAACAAAGCGTGAAGGCACAGTCAGTCCAGTTAGATTCAGTCAGTTAGTTAGTTACAGAGAGCTAGATGAGAGACACAGGTACGAGACACAGGTGAGAAACACAGGCGAGAGACACAGGTGAGAGACACAGGTGAGAGACACAGGTGAGAGACACAGGTGAGAGACACAGGCGAGAGACACAGGCGAGAGACACAGGTGAGAGACACAGGTGAGAGACACAGGTAAGAGACACAAAAAGTTTAAATGGTCCTTCGTATTATTAAAGTAACTAAGAACTAAACTATGAAGGAAGTTATTACAATAAGTATATTTAGTCATACATACAAACATACACTAATGACTCACGACTCACTTTGTCCTTGTCTTGCCATTGACCAAAGTGTTCCACCTCTTCTATGATATCTTGACAGAAGCGTTCACTGAAGAAGGGCAGGTAATACAGGTGAGGGCCCACCTGAGGGAGGAATAACAGGTGAGAGACATACATACATACATACATACACTAAATACATACATACATACACTAAATACATACATACATACACTAAATACATACATACATTAATACATACATACATACATACATACTCAATCTTCACTTTAAGGTCATTCAAGAGGTCACTTCCCAAGACGTTCTCAATCACCCCTCTCCCTTTTCTCATTGTTTTCCCTTTCTTTTCTCACTCGCCCTCTCACTCGCCCTCTCATTCCTGTTCTTATCCTTTTACGCCATCTTGATTAACCTGATGCTCTCTCTCTCTCTCTCTCTCTCTCTCTCTCTCTCTCTCTCTCTCTCTCTCTCTCTCTCCTCACCGTCTCAGGCACCATCTTTTTGCCAATAATCTTCAGCAGGTCAGGATGGAGGTATCGTCGCTGCCAGAGGATCCAGTTGTGCGTCAGGCCCCATAAATCCGGGTGGAGTTTTCCTTCCTCGTAGCCCAAACGGTCAAGATACAGTCCGGGTTGTGTTATGGTGTTGATGTAGTGGTCCACCTGTGTGATATTGTGACTCAGGTAAAGTTTGGTTAGGTTAGGTTGAAATGTGATGGGATTTTTCAATATATTTTCGTCATTTTCTCTCCCTCTCATTCACTCTCTTTCACTTTTTCTTCTTCTTTTTCTTCTCCTTCTTCGACTCCTTCTCTTCCTCCTCCTCCCCCTCCTTATTGTCCTCTCTCTCTCTCTCTCTCTCTCTCTCTCTCTCTCTCTCTCACCTTCTCCCCTAGTAGGAAGTCAAGCATCACGTCTTTCCTCACCACCTGGAAGCTTCGTATCTCCTGCACCCTTAGCGTCCCCCTGCAGGAAGATCAACAGTGGTAGAACACGTCAGGTAGTGAGGCTCGGGTTACCTGTAGAAAAGGCCCCTCACCTTATTTCACGTGATGATTAAGCACCCTAATGTTACCTGTGGTGGTAGGGTATGGTAGGGTAGGGAAGGGTAGAGTTGGGTAGGTTAAGGTACGGTTAGCTTAGGGTATGGTAGGGTAGGGTAGGGTAGGGTAGTGTAGGGTAGGGTTGGAGAGTGTTAGTTTTGGATAAGGTAGTGTTAGATTAGGGTAGAAAGGTTAGGGTAGGGTAGTGTTAGATTAGGGTAGGGTAGGGTAGGGTAGGGTAGGGTAGTGTTAGGGTAGGGTAGTAGGGTTAGGGTAGGGTAGGGTTGGGTAGGGTAGGGTAGTGTTAGATTAGGTCTGGGTGTAGGACTGAGTTCACTTCTCCTACACTAACTCTTGCTTACACTATCACCGAGGCGAGGACACGATCAGGTGTTCTTGTTGACAATGGGAAAACTCGTAGGTGTGTTGGAGACCCGCCAGGAAGGTGTAATGACCCACAATCTGCAGGAGTAAGCAGGTGTCCCGGCGGCCAGTGAGAATAACAGGAAAAAACGGGACGTCGATCTCTCACACCCTCAGCAGTAGTCTCTCAGTCATTACCTCAGCAGTAGTCTCTCAGTCATTACCTCAGCAGTAGTCTCTCAGTCATTACCTCAGCAGTAGTCTCTCAGTCATTACCTCAGCAGTAGTCTCTCAGTCATTACCTCAGCAGTAGTCTCTCAGTCATTACCTCAGCAGTAGTCTCTCAGTCATTACCTCAGCAGTAGTCTCTCAGTCATTACCTCAGCAGTAGTCTCTCAGTCATTACCTCAGCAGTAGTCTCTCAGTCATTACCTCAGCAGTAGTCTCTCAGTCATTACCTCAGCAGTAGTCTCTCAGTCATTACCTCAGCAGTGATCTCTCAGTCATTACCTCAGCAGTAGTCTCTCAGTCATTACCTCAGCAGTAGTCTCTCAGTCATTACCTCAGCAGTAGTCTCTCAGTCATTACCTCAGCAGTAGTCTCAGTCATTACCTCAGCAGTAGTCTCTCAGTCATTACCTCAGCAGTAGTCTCTCAGTCATTACCTCAGCAGTAGTCTCTCAGTCATTACCTCAGCAGTAGTCTCTCAGTCATTACCTCAGCAGTAGTCTCTCAGTCATTACCTCAGCAGTAGTCTCTCAGTCATTACCTCAGCAGTAGTCTCTCAGTCATTTGTGAACCAACACTACACTACACTACACTACACTACACTACACTACACTACACTACACTACCTACTTGAAGATCCGTCGGCGTATGATTTTGTCCCACTGTTCGCCGGAGTCATCACTCAGGACAAAGTTGACCTCGCCTCCTTCACCAGTCATCCTACGCTTCAGGAGGGGACCCACCACTGACCTGTAGAAGGCGGAGAAGGTGCTGTGTTCAAGCTGTAGTTGTTTCTCGTTCATCAAGAGTTAATTATTACTATTACTATTATTTATTTTCTATTAATTATTACATACTACTGACTTCGTAACTCATAATACTACTGACGTCATAACTCGCATACCACCAACGTCACAATATTACTAACGTCATAATACCCACTGACGTCATGATACTATTGACGTCATGATACTATTGACGTCGTAACTCACACGTCGGAGGCGATGAGGGAGGAGATGGTGGTAGGGTCCTCTAACACTACCTGAGGCTCCATCATCACCAGGAAGGCACACCTCACAGCGTCACACCTGTCCCTGAGGGTGAACACCTGGCTATAATGATGTGTTATTTGGGATCACCTGAAGATTAGACACCTGGGATTATTTTATATGATTATTAATTAACCACCATAACGGTAACCTATCCTAACCTAACCTAAGCTAACCATTATCTATAGCAAATATCACAGAGTTTCGTTCAATAAATAAATAACTGTAAAATGTTCTAAGTATTTTAAAGTGTGCTATATATATCGTCACTTATATTGCATTGTAATTGGTCAGAAGTCTTTATACCTTCTAGATTCTGATTGGTCGAAAAGTTTTGGCATTCTCCAGTCAATCAAGAGTTTGTTTTCAAGTTTCTTTCGTAGTTTTAATCAAAGTCTTAATTACCGCGGTTTTAATTTCCACTTTCTTTTGTTTTTCTTTGTGTTTTAATCAGTAGGTGTTAATTAAGGCGTCTCATGGGGTGTGTTGGTAGAAAATGGAGGACATTACGGGGCAGACTATACTAAACTGCAGGGAGATCTATTTGTTCCTTCTTAGTGATGTCAGGCCCACGGAACTAGCTGACGCCTGGACTGACTCCTTCAACCTGTTGTGTTAAGTGATGTCAGGCCCACGGAACTAGCTGACACCCTGGGCTGACTCGTAAACGCCTTAAGCTCGAGCGGATGGTCCATCTTGTATAGTTCATGTTCTCTCACGTACAAAATAAGACGTCAAAGAGAAATTCATTAAGGATAGATCTAGAGGAGTGCCCCTTTCACCATCTCTGAGAAGAATGAGGGAGAGTGTGGAGAGAGGAAAGGAGGGAGGAGAGTATGGAGAGAGGGAGGGAGAGTGTGGAGAGACGGAGGGAGAGTGTGGAGAGAGGGAGGGAGAGTGTGGAGGAAGACTCACAGATAAGCAAAATGAATAAATACATAGAAAATGTAAAATAAAATGATACCTCAAAGGGGTAACTCCTGCAAAGTGCCTCCACCTCATCTTCACACTGACCTTAGTATTGTATAAACTCAAGTGTGTAAATTTGGTGCCAGTGACAAAAACTTGTGAGCCTTTAAAGATATATTCAATGTGTTTGGTCTTGAGTCAAATTTACATCATTGTGGGTGTGGGGGGGGTGTGCGTATTAATGGTAGGTGACAGCTTCAGGCTTCACGTTCTACACTTCCCTCTTCTTCCTCCTCATTCTTCTCCTACGTGTCCCTGCCCTACCCTCACCTCCACTCCTCTCTCCACCCACCCACTCATCTCCGACTCCCTCACCTCGTTCACCCCCGCCCACGCACCACTACCTCTCCACACACACCTTACATCAACAAGTATTGGATAAGACCTGGTCCACAAAGCTCTACTTTCCTGGAATTCATCACCAATATACGTACAGAGGGAAGGTGGGGAGGAATACCTTACCCCTCCACCCTTTTTAGACCCCCACTTCCCCTTCTCCCCACACCCACACCTCCCCCTCTCCCCACACCTCCACCTTCCCTGAAAGCCAATACACCTCAGGAATCTAAAAGGGGTCATACTCCTATACCGTAACGTATCAACACACTACATCCTCTGCCCAGCACAGTGGCGGGAGGGCAAAGGAAAACAGGAGCTTATAGGTAATTGGAAGGTGAGAACTCTTCGGTAATTACTCTGTGGGTGTATACAGGTGGAGGTGTGTATACAGGTGTGTAGGGTGAGGTTAGGTTAGGTTAGGAGACAGAGGTGAGGGTATAGAGGACCAGCGTGTGTGTGTGTGTCTGTGTGTGTGTGTGTGTGTACAGGTGACCACCATGAAAGTAAATGCTAAATGAGATTGTGAATCATTAGTTGTATCTTGAGGAGGATGAAGGAGAGGTGTTGGTGAGACACAGTCACGCCATCTTTCCCTCCCTCCCTCCCTTCCTCCTTCCTTCCCTCCCACCCTCCTTCCTTCCTTCCCTCCCCCCTCATTCCTTCCCTCCCCCTCCTTCCTTCATTCCTTCCCTCCCTCCCTCCCTCATCCCAATGTTCCCTCCACGTCTTCCTCCTTCCCCTCCTCCCCCCCCTCCCTACCCCCCCTCATTCATCTCTCAGTTCCCAGTATGGATGAGTTACACAAGAGTGAATCACCATCTCCTTCCTACCTTCCCACTCACCAAAAATGGCCCCCCCCCTCCCCCCTCTCCTTCCCCCCCCTCCCCCCCCTCCCCCTCTCTCTCTCTCTCTCTCTCTTTTTCCCCCCCCCTCCACTTCCTTTCTATCCACCTCCACACTTCCACCCTTCCACACCCCCCACCTTCCACCTCCACACCCCACATATTTACACCTTCACATCTCCACACCCCCACACCTTCAATACCTCCACCCTTCCACACCTTCCACACCTTCCACACCTCCACCCCATACCTCCCACACCTCCACCTTCCCACACCCCATGACTCTCCACCTTCCACAACCCCACACCTCCACCTTCCACACCCCACCCCACATCTCTACACCTTCACACCTCCACACCTTCAACAACTCCACACCCCACCCCCATGCCTCCAACCTCCACTCCAAACCTCCACACCTCCACCTTCACCCTCCACACCTCCACACCTCCAACCCCAACCTCCACACCTCCCACCTCCACACCCCTTACCTCCACACCTCCCACACCTTCCCACCTCCCTCCACCTCCCACACCTCCCACCTTCCACCCCATACCTCCCACACTTCCCCTCCACACCTCCACACCCACACCTACACACCCCATACCTCTACCACCTCCCACACCTTCACACCACCCACACCTCCCACCTTCCCACACCTTCCCACCTCCCACCTTCCACTCCTCCACACCTTCCACCTCCACACCTCCACCCCACCTACACACCCCATACCTCCCACCACCTCCCACCTCCCACACCTCCCACACCCCCACTCCTCCACACCCCCCACACCTCCCTCCTCCCACATCATCCCACCCCCACACCTCCCACACCCCCACCCCCCACCTCCCACCCCCACACCCCCACCTTCCCACACACCTCCACACCTTTCCCACACCTCCCCCTTCCCACCTCCACACCCCACCCCATGCCTCCACCCTTCCACCTCCACCTTCCACACTCCACACCCCCATACCTCCACACCTCCACACCTTCCAGACCTCCACACTCCCACCTCCACACACCTCCACACCTCCACAACCCCACACCTCCACCTTCCACAAATCCACACCTCCACACTTCCACACCTCCCACAACCCCACACCTCCACACCTTCCACACCCACCCCCACCTCCACCCCCCTTCCTCCCACCTTCCTCCTCCCACCCTTCCACACCCCTCACCCTTCACACCTTCACACCTTCCCACACCTCCACACACCTTCCCACACCTCCACCTCCCACCTCCAAACCCCCACACCTACACACCCCACCTCCACACACCTTCCACTCCTCCCACCTACCACACCTCCCACACTCCAAACCCCACACCCTACACCCCCACACCTCCCACCTTCCCTCCTCCCCCACCACACTTCCCACCTCCAAACCCCCACACACCCCCACCTCCCACCTCCACACCCCATCAGCCTCCCACCTTCACTCCTCCCTCCTCCACACCTCCACCTTCCACAGGTAAGTCACACTAACCGCCCCTTGTTATCTCAGTACCATCAGCCTCCCATCTCTCTCTCTCTCTCTCTCTCTCTCTCTCTCTCTCTCTCTCTCCATTTCCTTCCCTCTGCCTTACCTTCCCTCCATCTCTCCTCCTTCCTGTACCCCATTTGTCCACTTCATCCTCCTCCTCCTCTCTTCCCCCAACCACCTCCTCCTCCTACTCCTCCTCCTCCTCTTCCCCTTCCCCTCCTCCTCTTCTCTTCCTCCTCCTCTTCCCTTCTCCTCTTCCTTCTCCTCCCTACTCCTCCTCCTCCCTCTTCCCCAACACCTCCTCCTCCTCCTCCTCCTCCTCCTCTTCTCTTCCTCTCCTCTTCCTCTTCTCCCTTCCTCTTCCTCTTCCTCCTCTTCCTCTTCTCCTCCTCTTCCTTCTCTCCTCCTCCTCCTCCCTCCTCTTCCCCAACCACCTCCTCCTCCTCCTCCTCCTCCTCTTCCTCTTCCTCCTCCTTTCCTTCTCCTCCTCCTCCTCCTCCTCCTCTTCCCCCCACCTCCTCCCTCCCTCTCCTCCTCTTAACCACCTCCTCCTCCTCCTCCAACCACCTCCTCCTCCTCCTCCTCCTCCTCCTCCTCCTCCTTCCTCCTCCCTCTTCCTCCTCTCCTCCTTCCTCCTCTCCTCTCCTCCTCCTTCCCCCAACCACCTCCTCCTCCTCCCCTCTTCCTCCTCCTCCTCCCCACAGGGTCAGAGGATGGGTACAGGGGACCTTGAGTTGTTATACAATACCCGTAACTTCTGCTTTCTTCCTCTCTCTTTCTTTCTTCCTCTCTCTCTCTCTCTCTCTCTCTCTTTCTCTCTCTCTCTCTCTCTCTCTCTCTGTCTCTCTCTTTAAACACCCCGGTAGACATTTTTTCATTTTTATCTGCACTGAACTGAGGAGGCCAGGTGTCACCCAAACTGCGTCACCTTAACTATGTGACCCCTAACGGTGCCAAGATAAGAATTTAGCCTAAAATTCCAGAAACAAAAAAAAATTGGTAGAAAAAAATGATACAGTTTCTCCGCGTTGTTGATGGTAGAAAGTAGCTCTCTCTCTCTCTCTCTCTCTCTCTCTCTCTCTCTCTCTCTCGTCACTGTCCAACTTCTGGTTAAAAAGAAAACATACCTTTTTTTCCAATTCACATTACCATTACGTTTTCGGATCACCTGATGAATAACCCGCAGCATATTTCACCTAAGGATTAGCCCCAGCTTATTTTACTGAAGCTTAGACAACCCTAGCTTATTTTACCAGAAGATTAGTTACCCAGCTTATTTCACCTGAAGATTAACCCTCTCTACTGACCACAGAATAATACAGTTTGGTGTATGTGTGTGTGTGTGTGTGTGTGTGTGTGTGTGTGTGTGCATCATAACTCAGGGTCACATTCCTGTACTTTCTCATTGGTACTACTTTAGTGTTCCCAGAGAAAGCCGAGAGAAAGCCGAGAGAAAGCCGAGAGAGAGAGAGAGAGAGAGAGAGAGAGAGAGAGAGAGAGAGAGAGAGAGAGAGGTGTAAATGGGGGGGCAGTGTGTGTAAATATACTACGAGTGTTTTACCGTTTACTCGGATACGTCTGCCGTGATTTGTAACCATTACCCTCCTTTTCTTCCTCCCCCTCTTCCTCCTCTTCTTCCTCCTCTTCCTCCCTCTTCCTCCTCATTCTTTTACTCTTCACCCTCGTCTTGCTGGTGGTCGTGGTAGTAGTAGTAGTAGTAGTAGTAGTAGTAGTAGAGGCTGTCAGGGTAACGGACCTAATCTTGGAGGAGAAGATTAAGAAAGAAGGAGAGACAAGAGCGAGAGAAAGAAACAAACCGATCGAAAAAGAAATAAAGTGCCGAGACGATAAAGGAAAGAAGAAACTAAAGAGACTGAAGAAAGAAGAAAAAAGAAAGGAGGAAGAAGAAAATAAGAAGAACAAAATTAGAAGACGTAGAAGAAGATGAAGAAAAAGGAAAAAGAGGAAAAAGAAGGAGGAAAGAAGAAAGGAGATAACCGGATAAAGCAAGGAGCAGACTGGCACAAATAACGTCTGGAGGAAACACTCACCAACGTCAAACTTTCTCCATATCTTATCGAACCTTGACAGCTGTTGTGTAATTCCCGGGTCAAGAGGGAGAAATTGGGCGACACATTGTCTGTCTGTCTGTTATTAACAATCGACTCCTCCCACATATTTTTTTCCTACGGATATTCACGTTGCTAGGTACAGTGTACTGTATATGGCGTACATGGATAGGTGTGTGTGTGTGTGTGTGTGTGTGTCAGGGTGACAGAGGCAGGTAGGCGTGAGGTTCGTCGTCCTTACCGGGAGAATTATCATCTCCTCCCTCCCTTCCTTCCCTCCCTTCCCTCCCTCCCTCCCTCCCTCCCTCCCTGGGTCGTATCCTACACTTGACCTACACCTCACTAGAGGGCATCTCACTCCTCCTACCCGCTAAGGGGCCGAGGGGTCCAGATCTCATTCTACATCAGTGTTTACATCACTTGTACGACAACTTCACTAAGTACAACAACATGAAGAATATGTACGATACTTTTTATCAACTAAGGACACGATAATTGGTGACATACGATACTGACAACATCAACTGGGGGTAAAAATTTCACCAGATTTTAATGAAAGCCCGTTTGGCACCTGTCCGCCCCCCCCCATCAGCAGGTGAGGCGGGGTATAAAAGTCAGCGGATTCAGGAGTGTCTCACATCCGACAGCGTGTCTGTCTGTGTCTCGGTCGTCTTCCGCTACCTGTCTGTCTGTCTGTCTGTCTGTGTGTGTGTGTGTGAAGCACCAACACCATCTTACATAATGACAATCCAGAGGTGAGTCATTCTGATATTGATGATTGTGTAATACTTGAAAAGAATATTATGTATGTATATGATTTATGGATACCGCAGTGTATAATGGTAGTGAATAACACTTATACACTCGCCTCGTCACTCACTTAAGACACTCGCCACGTGACTAGTCCAGTAGCCACTCAGAATGACGTATGTTGACTGGAATAGATCACCAATTAAGTAATGTCTTGTGGTCCAGAGAGCAATAAATCCGCCTTGATCTATGGAGCCTCTACTGACCTATACTTCCCCAGTGTGTGTGTGTGTGTGTGTGTGTGTGTGTGTGTGTGTTAAGGATTTATGATTAATAAATAGATGTTTTCCTTTTCCTACAGACTGCTGCTGTGTGGGATGGTGGGCGTGATGGTGGGCGTGGTGGTAGGCGACTCGGAGGAGGCGCCGCCAGATTTCGCCCCCTCCCAGGATGTCGTCAACAACAACGCCACACGGGCGGCCATGTACTGGCGGCACATGATCGGGCGGCACCCGCTTGCGTCAGCGACAGCGTCCATGTACTGGCGGATAATGTCCGTAGAGGACCCTGAGGAAGCGGCCAAGGCGGCCATGAAGACCCGCAAGGCCACCTCCAGCGACCCTGAGGCCATGGCCCAGTCCGCCTTCTTCTATCAGCGTATGTCTACCCGCAGTCCTCACTACGCCAAGATGGCCGACAATTACTGGAAGAAGATGGCCGCCCATGACCCCGAGGTCACCGCCAGGTCAGCCATGTACTGGCGCAACGACCCTGAGGCCGCCATGTACTGGTAACCTTCCATGACCTTGTGGTGTGACCCTATGTGACCCTGTGTCAACCCAGGAGTCACCACCAGGTCAACTATCACTGGCATAATGACCCCGTGTGCTGATGACCTCTCCTGACCTCTTGTGACCTCTATTGACCCCTTATGACCTCCCCTGACTCCTTGTGACCTCTCCTGACCTCTTGTGACCTCTCCTGACCCATTGTGACCTTGTACCGCCCTCACTGTGGCAGTAATTTCCCGTTTATAACATAAGGCGGCAAGAATAAACCTCCGCAACAATAACAATGTTGGTGTGTAGGTCGTGTGTAGGTCGTGTGTAGGTCGTGTGTAGGTGAAGTCAAGAGTGTAACACAACAGGTCAACTTGTGTGTTTAACTTATTGTCTTTGGTCTATATATAAAACTTAAGGTTCCATAATGTTGTTTGTGTTATGCCTTATTTACATCATTTTTGTCTTATTCTTTGTTTTTGTTTTTATTTCATTTTACCTTTGTCATCTACCTTTGTTAATACCAACCACGAGTCGCTGGTCAATGGTCCCACAGACTGAAACAATTGGCAAGTCGAGAGAGAGAGAGAGAGAGAGAGAGAGAGAGAGAGAGAGAACGCAGTTGCAATATATACCATAAATATACGTCCTCGTCCACCCCTTGTTAGCTCGTCGAGACTGTGAGAGACGTGGGAGGATCAAGAGACAGTCCTGAGGTGAGACACACGACACACAGTCAAGGCTTAATTGAGAGAGAGAGAGAGACAAATGAGAAGGGGGTGAGGAATCCCTGAGAGACAATTATTATATCAATTAAATGGAGAGACGTAAAGAGACTGTAAGAGAGACTTGATGATCTTATAACACACACACACACACACACACACACGCACACACACACACACACACGCACACACGCACACAGGGCCTTAATAATTGCCCTTGTTAGCGTCGTCATAGATTTCTACCATTTATCATGCATGCGTAGCTGTGTCAGGCAGACGACCCAGCCTCTGACGGTCATGAAGGGGGAGGTGAAGGGGTGCCGTTACTGCCATTAACCTTGAAGATGAACCCATTAACAAGGGGACCTCATTATCTCTTAACTACTAACAGCGCTCGTCTCCTGCATCAGTATTTCAATTCCCGGCCGCTCCTAGTTCACCCTAGCGGTCGAGTGCAGTATTGACCCTTAACTACTAACAACCCTTAACTACTAACTACCCTTAGCTACCCTTAACTACCTTCAACTAGCCACTTACTTCACCATCTGAGGCTCAAACACCAGATCATTAACCAGCTCCAAGGTAGAGTAGTCATCACCATGTTCCTCCACAAAGTTGGTTATTTCTCTCTCCTGTTGTCCAGCCTGAAAGAAACGAGATGACGTGAAAGAAATGATCAAACAAATAAGGTTGATTTGTGATAATCATACAGTGTCATCAATAAACAACAGCCAGTTATCATTACGTAAACTGGTATAATTCATGAGCTGTACCTGATCGTGAAAGAAAACGGAACGTGGTGTTGTGGGATGACTTGTATAGATTTATTTCCGTTTATTTTATGCATTTATATATTTTTCTTAACATTGTCTTCTCCCTCCTTCCCTCTCTTCTGCTTTTATTCTCCCCCTCTCCCTCCCTCTTCCTCTTCTCTCTCCCTACTCATTTTCCTTCCCTCTCACACCCTCTCCCTCTCCCTCTCGACCGTAAATGAAAGAAACTCCTCTCTGCCCTGGCATGCCGTCCCCCCCCCCCGAGCTAAATGACACTCTCCTGACACCTTCCTGACACTTCTCCTGACACCTTCCTGACACTTCTCCTGACACTCTCCTGACACTTCTTACCCAACCTTTAGTATCATGGTTGGCTGGTGGTGAGAGGGCCCAAGTAGACGTCAAGAACCTTCTCTCCACCTCTCTCCATATATATATATATATATATATATATATATATATATATATATATATATATATATATATATATCTACCTATCCATCTCTCCATCTATCTATCCACTCCTCACCTTAGCATGTATCCAAACGTCCATTCTATCCTTGGGGTAATCCTGTGCAGCGAAGCCCTTCAACACCTCCTGCAGGAAGGGCGCCCATGTCCCCCCCAGCAGGAGCAGCGCCAGCACCCGTGGGCGGCCTTCATCCTGTAGGAAGAGACATGTGGATAAGGTAACTAAGGTTGGTAAGGGAGGTAGGTAAGGGAGATAAGGGAGGTAAGGAGGATGAAAGTTTTTTTTACAAGCGTATGTATGTATGTATGTATGTATGTATGTATGTATGTATGTATGTATGTATGTATGTATGTATAACAAAACCAAAGCGTCATATTCTAATCAACCAATCAGCTTAGGGGACTCACATAAGTGGGCGTGGCGTGGGTGGTGTAGGGACACGCCTCTCGCCCCTCCCCCACCCCCTCTATCAGGTTGTAGAAGTCCATCCCATCCTCCTTATTGAACACGAGGAAGGGCCGAGTCACGTCCCCTTCAGCGCCCCCTTCAGGTGTGAACTCAACTCGTAGTGGCAGAGTCGTTACCAAGTTTCCTGGTGGAGAGGGAAGGGAGGAAGGAAGGAATGGGTAAGAGAAGGAATAAAAATAATTAGAAATGAAAGCAAATGGAGATGGAGACATGATGTTATTGAAGGAATTATAATAGAATTTGGATTACATGAAGACTCTCTCTCTCTCTCTCTCTCTCTCTCTCTCTCTCTCTCCCTCTATCTCTCTCCAAACTTTATTCACCTGATTATTATACACCCTAACAATACCTGCGGGGTTAGGTTAGGTTATGTTAGGTTAACTTAAACAACAAATACTAAAGTAATCTATGAATCCAAGTTACAGATAAATGATTGTTGAGACGACCGGTTTGTTTGTAATGAGGCTGTTGGGTAGTTAAGGCTAGGTGTGTTGTGTGTATGGTGGTTAGTGTGTGATCGTCTAATAGTGAAGTGAGACAGACACACACACACACACACGTGTAGATTGACCTGACCACCTGACCTTACTTGTGGAGACTTCGTGTGTGTATAGATCTGAGTGTATATAGATTTATGTGTATATCTGTGTGTATAGAAAATATTCATAGTGTATTTCCGGAAGTAAACAAAATCAGTGTCGTGCTTAAGTTAAACCTGTGATGGCTGACCCCTTAAGTGTCATGTACTGCCCCCTACCGGCCAACACACACACACCACCAGCATATAGAGGAACCCTGTCGCCCGTCCCAGTAGAACAATTTAGAAACAATATATGAAAGTAAATTTGTTGGAAGAAATTGGGGAAAATATTGTTAAGCTTCAGACGAATACACTGTGATATCTCGGCTCTCTGTGGTAAGGTAATATATTGTGTGTTGATTTCTTATATACAGAGGCGATTGTGTTTTGTTTATAGATTCAAAGGCGATTGTGTTTTGTTTATAGACTCAGAGGCGATTGTGTTTTGTTTATAGATTCAAAGGCGATTGTGTTTTGTTTATAGACTCAGAGGCGATTGTATTATATTTATAGATTCTGTGGCGATAGTATTTTGTTTATATACTCAGAGGCAACAGCATTTTGTTTATAGATTCAGAGGCGATTGTCTTTTGTTTACAGAGTTACGGCTACCTTTACTTCACCTATACCTAGTCGTAGCCTCCTGGTGTACAGGAAAAGCCGTGTTGGTTTTTTTAAGTTGTGTCGAGCGTTTCCTGTTCAACAGAAGTTTTCTCTCTTTTTTTATTCAGAATCTTTTACCGGTATGGGAGGGGATGGTCTGAGCCTCTGAGCCTTACACAGATTCTCTCCTGTCATTCACACTCTTTTTTATTCACTTTTATTTATTCTCTCTCTCTCCCATCATTCACTTAAATAACATAACAATATCCTGTTCCGAGTGTATTATATGCATCTTGACTTAAGCATCTTGAGTATTACCAACAACCAATACTTTATACGCGTCGGTATAGATGTCAGTAGAAGGTCAATTCAACACCTGAGAAGATTTACGATCACGAAGGAAAAAAAATAAGTGAAATAAGATCTTTTAAAACATATTTTTTGGCCCGTGAAGTGTGAATACTTCTTCCCTTCCCGTGATATAAGAACCTAAGTGATATTTTTACCTGGGTAAGAATGGGTTCAGTGAGACTCATTCCTTCCATGAGGCTTAAAGTCATGTCCAGTGGTATATAAGAGAAGTAATCTCCCGGACCTCACCAGCGGCCATACAAGAACGCATTTCGGGTATTGATTTCGCACCAAAACCTTATTCTGGGGAGCGTTTGTTGCTTGGGAGTGTTGGTCAGGCGTGAAGGACGTATTACCAAGAGGAGGAAAGGAGAGGAGAGGAAAGGAAAGGAAAGGAAAGGAAAGGAAAGGAAAGGAAAGGAAAGGAGAGGAAAGGAAAGGAAAGGAAAGGAAAGGAAAGGAAAGCAAAAAACATATAAAATTGAGGAAAATATAAGGAGAGACTCGCTGAGAGGAGAGGGTGGATAAAAACTAATAAATAAACCTGGTGTATTCGCTGAGAAGATTAGTTGTTGGAGATGTTCGCTGTGTGGGAGTTGGTGCTGTAGTTGAGAGTCTCTGCTGAAGCCTGGCGAATATACGGGATCCAAAGTGTAACTCCAGGTAATACGGCCTGGAGAGAGAGAGAGAGAGAGAGAGAGCATGGAGAAGCATAGAGAGAGAGAGAGAGAGAGAGAGAAAGGAAAAGAGAGGAGCATGGGGAAGTAGAAAAAAACGGGAGAAAATTCTTGAGACATTGAGATAGAAGAGGAATAAAAAGAAGAAAACGAAAAAAAAGGAACATCACCGAACATGTGTTGATTCTGACTTTACTCTCCCCACCTCACCCACCACCTACTCTCCCCACCTCACCCACCACCTACTCTCCCCACCTCACCCACCACCTACTCTCCCCACCTCACCCACCACCTACTCTCCCCACCTCACCCACCACCTACTCTCCCCTCTTCACCCCATGACCTACCTCTTTGCCTGTTACCGTAGACAACATGCTGGGCAGTCGTGTCCCGGATGACCTCCTGGGTGTTGGCTGATCCCTCCCTCAGCGCCTTCAGGAGTGACCCAACCCGACCTATCACAGTTCCTCCTGTAGTGGGTGTGGGGGTAGGAGGGGGAGAGAGAATGATTAGCACTGTTTGTGAGTTTTGATTGGCTAATGACGTATTTCACTCACTCACTCACTCACTCACTCACTCACTCGTTTGATATCATTAGGTGACAGGGATAAAATGCTAATTGGTTGAAGGAATATTTGGCCAGCCATTAAACGTCAATGATTGGCTAGGGAAATTCGTAATACAAATAATCACGCACTTGATTGGCTGAGATTAGAACAGATAAAAACAATCGTCATTGGTTGGATTTAAAAGCCAAATATAAACACAACCAATTAAAACCAACGAAAGAATAATTAATCAAGGGTAATTATAGGTAATTATCACAGTCTGTCTTTAATTACCTAAATATTTAATCAACTTAATTGGGTCATAGGTGAATGTACATAATCCAGGTAATTATTTATCGCAATGAGTACAAAGTGATTCTGTATTGTGAATTATATATATTTAAGCTCTTATTAGTATTATGTTTTGAGGCGGTGAGATAATGTATTGGATTATGTGTAACGATGTAAGTAATGTGTGTGTGTGTGTGTGTGTGTGTGTGTGTGTGTGTGTGTGTGTGTTCCAACTGCTGACGTCTTTCCACACAATACAAAGATGATTTTTAAACCAAACAATAATTTACTGCACATAACTAAGACACCACCACCTCCCACACATCGTAACATAAGTCAACCAGTTTTGAAATAAATCTTATATAATCTGGTCTGTAACAATATATAAAGGAATTTTCGTCTCCCGTGAAGTTAGAATTGAATTTAGATCTTCCCGAGAGACAGAGTAAAGTATAAACTCCAGGAATGTGGTTAATGAACGAATTCCTCGACCCTCCACTGCACAATAGACACCAATATAAAACTCTTCAATAGTGGCGGTAAACTCTTATATGACGATTGTCTTTTGTTTTATGATTGTGTTTATAAAGTGTTAGATGATGATCGTCTTTTGGTTCATGATTCTTATTAACTCTCTCTCTCTCTCTCTCTCTCTCTCTCTCTGTCAATAAATATATACACTAAGTAATAACAAAATCATCGAGAAATTCTTACCTTTCAATACACGTCGAACGATATTATCTTCCTCCTCCTCCTCTTTCTCTTCCTCCTCCTCCTCCTCTTTCTCTTCCTCCTTCTCTTCTTCTTCATCGACTGGCTTACGTCTCTCTGCCTCTTCTTCCATTCTCTCTCCTCCCGCGTCAACAGGGTCATGAGTCTCATTCTTACCTTCCACCTCATTTATCTTATGTTTCTCATTTGCACTAATGTTATCAGATGATTTCCCTGTTTCCATCTTTATCATCTTACTTTCCTTTTTCTCTTCTTTCTTTTCGTTTATATATTTTTTCGTCTTGTTTTTATTTCCTGTTTTTCCTTCGTCTTCTGGATCCTCGACTTCCTTTCTTTCATTCTCTTCCTTTTTATAATTATCTTCATCTCTATTTCCGTTCTTCTCCTCTTTCTCTTGTTTTTCCTCCTCTTCTTGTTCCTCTTCCCCTCTCTTCTCCTCCTCCTCTCTGCCCCTCTCGCCCTCAGTCGTCTTAATGAATGACAGGTCGGCCACGATCAGTGATTGGTCAGTGTCGATCAGCTGTCTTCTGACGTCATCATAGGAGGCCAGAAGGTAAACAAACTCATCACGTCTGTAGTGGAGAAGCAAAACATGAAAGGTATCTCTCTCTCTCTCTCTCTCTCTCTCTCTCACACACACGAGGAGTTTTTATTCATCGTTGTATGGCTCTACAGACAGACAGACAGACAGGGTAAGGACTGGTAAAGTGGTTCTCTTAGAGTTTTCTGCGTCGGAGCTGAATTGATTGTCCCCGTTGAAGTGGGGAAGAAATTTGTCCCGCTTCTCTCTCTCTCTCTCTCTCTCTCTCTCTCCTCCTTCTCCTCACCCTCCTCTTCCTCCTCTCCCCTCTGAGTCCCTCCTCCTTCTCCTCACCCTCCTCTTCCTCCTCTCTTTCTAACCTCTCCCTACTACCTCCTCCTTTATCTCAATCTCCCCTCCTCCTGCCCCTACCCTCTTCCCCCTCCCTTCCCCTACCCTCCCCCTACCCTCCTCCTCCTCCTCTCCAACACCAATAAAAGGGGATCAGTTACGTCAGGTCATCACCATAGTAGGGTCGAGTACCCCTGATACACTCCTCCGAGATTGATGCGATTGTCACTTGTTTCCTGGAGAATTTTGGTGACGTTGGTGATCTTATAATTTCTTCTTTTCGTTTATTTCCTTTTCTTTTGTTTCTCTTGTTCTCTTGTTGTTTCCGTTTATGTTTATTGTTTTGATGGTTTTTCTAAGTCTTCTGTTCTCTTCTCTTGTGTCTCTCTTCTCCTCTTCATCCTTTCGTCTGTCGTGTGGATATCCTCTCATTATCTTGTCTATCTCTTTCTCTCTCTTCGTCATTCTCATCCATGTCATTTTCCTTCTCCTTCCCCTCCCCTCACCTCTCTCCCCTCTCTCTTAATCCTCCTCCACCTGTTTCTCCTCTCCTCACCTCTTCCTCCTTTAATCGTCCTCCTCCTCCTCCTCCTACTTCTCCTCCCGGGCCAACACCTCCATCTTAAGAGCCAATTTACTAAAGCTGCTTTCTTCGTCTTCACCTGACCTGTCTGAGGCAGGCGGTGAAGGTGCCAACTAGTGCCTGTAGCGTCACCTGCACACACACACACACACACACACACACAGGTAAAATTAATTAATATTCGACAGTTGTAATGATTTAGCTTATATATGAAGGAACGCATCTACTGTAGGTTAGGTTAGGTTAGGTTAGGTTAGGTTAGGCAGAGTCTCAGTGTTATTCTTATGTTGTTTGATGTCCCCTCCTCTCTCTCTCTCTCTCTCTCTCTCTCTCTCTCTCTCTCTCTCTCTCTCTCGATAGGCAGATTATTAACCCATATGTCACCAGGAGAAGAAAAGGTCACTTTATGCGGAAACTTGTGGATCCGATACTCATAAAATTCATCAGCCGATATCGAGAGGACAGAAAGCGGGATATCGGATAAGTTTTTGTTTTAGTGAAGAGAAAAAGCCGAGTGTCAGAGGACAAGAGGTCGATGAAGAGAGGAAAATGAAGTCGATTTAGAGAAAACAATGAAATCGATTTATTGAGGACAAAAAAGCCGATTTCGAGAGAACAAAAATGCCGATTTAGAGAGAATAAAAAAGCCGAATTAGAGATAATAGAAAAGCCGATTTAGAAAGAGCACAAAAACAACCCGATACGTATAGAAAAAAACCAATAATTGGAAGAGAAAGAAAAACTAGAAAAAAATCTGAAATATTACTCACAAATTAGTGACGATAACAAGGTCCTCCTCAGGCAGGCTCTCGAGATGGTCCTTGAGCCTTGAGTCCTCCTCATATCTCCCTGAAGGACACCAAGACCTCATCATCTGCCAGGGAAGGAGGGGATTCAAATGGCCATCCATCCTTATGAGGAGAAGTTGACGAGGGGCCAGGGAGTGGAGGCTTATACCGGGACTTTTTTATTTATTTATTTTTTTAATTTGAAGGAGTGTCTGTCTGTCTGTCTGTCTGTCTGTCTGTCTGTCTGTCTCTCTCACTCTGTCTCCGGGTCTGTCTGTCTGTCTCTCTCACTCTGTCTCCGGGTCTGTCTGTCTGTCTCTCCTCACACACAACACACTTCACCCTAAAGATACACTTAGACTCACCTTAACACTTGGATACTTGAGTCTACACGCTGAGTGAAGGAAGTACTTCTCAGCCACGGTCTCAGCGGCCACCAGACCCACCACATGGAGAGCTGAGAGTAGTAGTAGTAGTAGTTAGTTGAGAGGTAGTTGATAGAGCTGAGAGTAGTAGTAGTAGTAGTTAGTTAAGAGGTAGTTGATAGAGCTGAGAGTAGTAGTAGTAGTAGTTAGTTAAGAGGTAGTTGATAGAGGTGAGAGTAGATTATGAGTTAGGGTAGATTTTAATTATGTTTTGAGTAGATGAACAATCCTCAAGGGTAGATTACACATAACTGGAGTAGAATAACACGACTAAATATAGAGTATATGATGTCACTTGTCCCTCCAGGCTCTTCCTCCAACCTCCCCCTTAAGGCTCCTCCCCCCCAGGCTCTTCCTCCAACCTCCCCCTCTAGGCTCCTCCCCCCAGGCCCCTCCTCTACCCCCCCCTTTCCACCACACACCTCAGAAATCGTTCCCAGATTGCCCACCTCCTTCACGCCCGCCTCTCTGCTCCTGCCGTGACGCCCACAACCAACACCACAGCTCACCACAGTCCTCGTCCACCTGATCACTCTCCCTGTGTTCCCTCCCTCAGTGTCTAGCCCAGGAGACCAGAGTACCTCACTCATGTTTTGTAGACTCTTTTGTTTTTTTGCTTGTAATATAACTTCACCACCACAATCACCACCATTACCACTATCACCATCACTATCACTAACACCAGCATCACCACCTCATCACCACCATCACCACCACACCACCATCACCTTATCACCACACCACTTCACCACCACACCACCAACATCACCACCACACCACCTCACCACCATCATCACCACCATCATCACCACCTCACCACCATCATCACCACCACTCCTACACCACTACAACTTACCTCTGTCATCGCTGCTAGACGTCTCTCTCCCGTCTATCACCAAGGTCATAAACGAAACGCAAACACAGACCCAGACTCTTACAATCGTCGGTGTGACCATGATGAACACTGTCTTGGGTCGCGGGCGAGGAACAAGTGAAGGTGTCTGGGCGCTGCATTGGTGTCGGGCAAGAACCAGGAAAAGTTACCCAAACTCTGAAATATATCGCGTCAACGTAAGCAGGACTATCAAGCATTTTGTTTATATCAATACATCTTTATATACGTATTAAACTGTGTGGTTAGGTTAGGTTCTGTGTCGTTTGTTATAGGTGATATTTTCATTTATATACAATACTATGTTAGGCTACTATTTTTTCTTAAAGGTAAATTGAAATAATATTATATTTTCCTCAATAAACTGTGCTTGCAAGTGCAGTTCATTGACTCGTGTGGTAGTAACATAAGTTTTAATACTATACATTATATTCACCTTCTAAATAAACAAAATAAATCCACTTATATTATCCTTCTTTTTCATTCCTGTGCCGTACCTGACAGCCTGGTCTATCAATATTAATTTCTCTTTAAATGTTTGAATATTAATTTTTTTTTTCTCGTACCCTGAGAGGTTACTGGTGCTGTTGTGGCGATGAAGTGTGGTGGGGAGGAAGTGTTTTAATCTATCTATCTATCTATCTATCTATCTATCTATTCATTTATCTATCTATCTATCTATGTGTGTGTGTGTGTGTGTGTGTGTGTGTGTGTGTGTGTGTGTGTGTGTGTGTGTGTGTGTGTGTGTGTGTGTGTGTGTGTGTGTGTGTGTGTGTGTGTGTGTGTGTGTGTGTGTGTGTGTGTGTGTGTGTGTGTGTGTGTGTGTGTGTGTGTGTGTGTGTGTGTGTGTGTAGTTGTTCTCTCGTGTTGGTGGTGCCTGAAATCACAAACAAATGTCCTGTTGTTCAAGTTTTCCTTCCAGGTTTAGACTGTGAATATTTCAATCAGATCTACCCTGTTGTGACTTGTCTGAAGGGTTGTTAGCCGTAAGGCCCTCAATCATGACTTGTATTGGTTTCAAATATTTTCATGTCGTCTACAAACTTGATAATGTGGCTCATATAAGTGATGAGATGGTGTGGGTCAATAAGCCCGTTGCTGTTCACTTTATCATTATGTTCTTATCTGTTAACTATACAGCTTACAGGTATACAGGTATCTACTGTATAGTCAGGTGTGTTAATGAAGTTATCATAACAGTAACTTCAGTGAAATAATCACATACCATCCTTACTAAAGAACTCATTAGTATGATATAGGCGAAAAATATTGATGATTTGCTTTAGTATTAACTTAATAGTTGATAAAACATCGCAAATTTAGAAATAATGGCATATATTCTACAATAAAAAGAAAAAAGGGTATGAAAAACTTTAAATAGAACAGTTACCCCAACAATTTAGTGTTGTTTTCTCTAATAATTAATTCAAAGAAAACGTAAAAAATGCTTGAGGCACCAGGAACTCGGGTATATAGTCACCTGTCTCGGCCTCCTACACAGAGTTCTAACTTTCATAATTTTTATCGTTGTTAGACTAATGTATTAGTAACTATGCAACGCACTTAAATACCCTCGTTGTCGAAGCGCAATAATAAAGTTATAACAACAACTCGGCCTCTCACAGCAGCTCCCGGAAGCATTTCACTTTTAGTTTGCTTTTATCCTCTTCGCCACTGATCGGTTCGTCAGCCGCTTGTTACAACCAGAGTTTTAAAAATTTTGAGTTACGAAGGACACCGCACTGCAGTGCTCAACAGGGAGGTGTGGCGGTAAAATAAACTAACAATATTGAAATTAGTTAATTTTTTCGTCAAACCTCCATGTCGAGCGCTGCAGTAGATATATAGTGTGTAGCGAGCCCGTAGTAAAACCTCTTGGTATACTCAGGGACATTGAAACATGACTCGTTTCTTGCATGCGGGGAGTGGTTACGGGTTCGGGTTTGGTGTTTCAATGGTTTGAATTTCTGCTTCACGTTTTCTGTGGAAATTAAGAGTATTAACTTCCTTTATTTTTTATGTTAATCATTTATCTTCACACTGAAATATCATTTAAATTCCTTGAGGGCTGGTAACTATTCTGGGCAAGAAGGGAGACAGACAAACCTTGAGTATTATGAATGATATTAATTAAAACAACGTAAACTATTGTCATTCTCCTTGCCTTCCCTCATAGTTCAGAATCAGACGAGCAAACACTGAATTAGGAGTCGAACTATGATTCACGCCTGGATGATTCATTAAATAATAACTAGTTTATGTGTGTATGAACGTCAGGGCATTATCAAAATATATCTGGTTTTCATCTTTAAACATAATATTCAAATTCCCACCCTCATTACCACGTCTTTTGGAAATGAGCTTCAACCTGGAGATGATTCAATGTGGGGGAGGAGGCGAGGATGAACTTGGTCGTCTGGGAGGGAGGGAGGGAGGGAGGGGCAGGAAAAGCTGAACTTTGAACTCTACGACATGAGGGAAGTGTTGACGACGTGGCTCTTTCACTGCTCTGCTCACTACAGCCGCCGCCGGTAAGTACAAAAAGTCGTGGCGTTTACTGACTCCCACACTCCAAATACTAATTAATATCGTGCATAAATATTCCAGCCACATTTTAAGCAACAAGTATCAACGTTATATAAAGAAGTTAGTGAAATTTGGGGTGTTTTAATCACAGGTGCTGTCGGGGTATAATGTTTAGCCGACGACGCCATGTTAGGCTGCTTTGTCGAGTCAAATTTGTCTGCTAATTTGTTATTGCCTGGGTCTCCTATAGTCCTCGAGGATATTTCAGATTATCTTAGGTCCTGTTACGCCTCGGCAAGTGAGCAGGAAAAGGTGATTTACAAAGAAATAATAGAGGATATAGACTGGTGTTGCCCCACTTTTTAGTTTTAAAGTGGTCGGCCCAATAGATTATTCCACCTCCTCGTATTAATTCATAGTTTCCTGCAAGATGGTCATATAATGTAAGTCACAAAACTGACGAGTAAAGAAGAAAAAACTAGCTTGAAATAGTTTGAGGTAAAGTATCGAAGAAAAGTTAATAGGCCTAAGTAGTTTAGCTTTCGTTATTGATTCCTTGGTTGTCACCCTCGTGGAGCTCATGAGGAGTTAATTATATAGTAAACATTAACCTAACATAGACCACAGGATAATTCGTATGAAATAATTGACTTGTAGTACGGATCATGTTTAAGTACCCAATAATGAATTAAGGGAAGGATTTACACCGGTGTTGACGTGGCCACATGCAAGTTTAAATGACGTAATTTGATAGTGTATGGGCGGCTTAATCCCCGAGTTTCCTTAAGTTTGAATGTAAGATTTGTCATGTTCTGGTTATTGAGGAAGATAACTTTTCCCTATTAAGATTTGGTTAAGGAATTATTGTGGTTTAGTTAATGTGTAGATGGATATTATTATTATTAGATGGACATTTTGTAAAGAATTTAGTTCGTGTTAAAAATTACAGTAATAGTTGGTAAAATTGCAGTTTCGGTCAATATGCCCAGTAGTTTAGTAATTAGTTTATTCTGTGTATTTTGGTGTTTGACTTAATCGAATTTGACATTTCTTTCCGGGGAAAAGGACCCGTCCCCCCCTAAGAAAAAAGTATGAAAAAAACTAAAATTATTCTCTGGTGTTATTATTCTTTGCCACTTGGTTAAAATGGGGCTATAAATACGCCAAATAAGATGTTAAGGTTGGGGATGGTTAAAACAGTCGGCCGTGTCTTGGCCGAAACTGCAATACCAAAGTTATTCTACTCTAATTTTCCACCTAAGTTTATAGGTTCTTGTCCAACTTTAAGGAACGAATTGAGACGATTTATTAAAGGGTTTTGGAAGGGGATGAGAATAGTTATCCCGCCAGGTGGATTATTTAGGTAATTAAAATATTTATTGAAATCCTCAAAAATCCATAATTGGTTCATCATAAATGGTACAGGTATATAGTGAGGCACGTTGGTTAGCTGTGCTGTATGAGGAAGTGTTGGCAAGAGGTGAACGAGGAATGAAAACTATATTTGCTTCATGTTAATTTATGTTCCTGTGTTTTCCAGATCCCGTGTGTTGGTGGCTGAGGCAGGACACCATGTAGCTTGACCTCGGTTATAGCTCTCGCCTCCAAGTGTAAAATGCCTTCACTAACAGAATCGAAAATGGCCAGAACAGTACTTGATACTTTTTTCCTACAGAAGTTCACAGTTCTATGTAGTTAACCCTTGTTACTATCTTTCCTCTGCTAGTATAAACAGGTACTGATATTAATAAGTTTTGTTTCATTCAGGTTTAAAAACGGAATTACAAGGACAAACCAGAGGACGGTGTTTTCTGTGTTGAAGCTGAAGTGTGGTATAATTTTTACAAACATCTCCTGGTATAAATATTTAGTTTTTGTAATTAGTTTTTCAGATTAACTGTGTATAACAGTGGATCCTGACAATTGCCTCCTATTCAATGTTATTACAAATTACAGGTTTCTTCTGTTCCTAATCCACCCATCAATATATTACACGTATTGGAATTAATCTTTCTTTTGCTACAGGTTTACTGTCGAGCCGTGAAAATACTCGTTCACTTGTTTCAAATTGTATCAATAAATGCTGAATATTCCGTGATTTCCGCTAATATTCAGCCATAAGAAAACGTTGAATACCCCGTTATTTCCGCTAATATCGAGCTGAATTTTTTTGTTCCGTCCACCAATACTCATCGTCGTGGGGGAAAAACTCCACAAACTTCATATTCCTTCCCACATACAGTAAACCTTAACAAAATAACCCACGAGTTTATCTTCTCATTTGTATCTGGGAAGAGGATTTAGGTACTTGATAAAACCTAACCAGTACTGTAGTTCGAGGACAAAGTTGTATATAGTTTGTCACGGATATTATAAATTTAGTTTGCACATCTTAGCGTGTTGGAATTTGTTTTAACTTGGTAAATAATGCTTAGGTAGTACTGTAGTGTCAGTATTTTGTAGTGCCAGTGCAGTGTTCTGTAATGTAGTGTACCTTAGGACCCTTCGGAATGTGTAGTTAACATACTTTGTAGTATTTGTAGTTTGTATTTTCAGTAGTGACATATACTTAGGCTGTGTGTGTGTGTGACTGTA